AGCTTAACTAAGAACATTATTGTACTCTTAAACCTCCAGGAGTGAATCTTTCTGGACTTGGCCCTAATGCAATATTTCAAGCAGGTAGGTATAAAGGTCAGTATTAAAGATAATCTATTTACCTCAAAATATTTTGAAATATCTTAACATATTTCTCTTTTGTGTTATTTTCCTATCCCTACACCTGCTAACAGACTGAGAATGCAGAGTGGCTGACAGCACACAGCTTCCATCCTGCTGGCTGCAAGCAACACACACCCCACATATAGGTACACCCTGTGTATAACCAGAGCAGGACCCAGGAGCTATGCAATCAACAGCTGTAGGCTCCACAGAAAAGTCACACAGATAAAAAGGCTTTGCACTTCTCAAGAGGAACCTCAACTACCATTATAAATCATCTACAGAGCTAAAGACCAGTAGTAGCAGTAGTTAAAAGCCCACAAGTGTTCAAAAGCGAACTGCGTGACCCATACCTGAGTTCACAGGCTGATTAGCAATCCAGCTGATGAGAATCAGCAGAGCCAGAGGGAATGAGTAACAAAACTGTTCTCCATTTTGGGAGATGCACTGGAGATAGCAAGTTACTTGCACTGCTGACTGCAGTGGTCAATTAATTACTTTCCAAGCTCAGTTAGTAGTCTGGAAGAAAAGCCAAGGAGACGCTCATCTTCAAGGAAAATCACTTCTCATCTGCAGCAAAGGAAGTCCCTGCATCAGCTTCTTCCCTCTCTCTCTTACACCTTTTCTCTACCCTCCTGCTCAGATAACATCTTTCTGTTGCCACATCACCATGACGTAAGGCGAGAGTACAGGAAACCTTCTGTGTGCCAAATAGCACACAGACAGCTGGCATGGGAAGTGTTAAATTGCTCACAGGTCAGAGCAGAGAGGAAGCCAGGAATGCAACAGATGGTATGAATTCTGGCAGATGCAGAAGACAAAGAAAGTGATGTGGTTAAGAGAGATGGCCCTCCAAAGCAGAAGACAGAAAAAGGAAAAAAGGAACAGAGGAAAAAGGAAATGTGGATGGGCAACGTGCAGATCATTCTGCTCTTGCATCTCACTTCCTCCTCACAGCCAGAGCAGCACGCGTGGGCTCCTCATAGCTTTCCACACATGGGCAGCAGAAAACAAAAAGCACAACATCTGAGCTGCACGTTTCCATTTTTTAAGGGTAACAGAGAGAATGAAATAGTACAGAACTCATCAGATATTACTGGACATCCACATTTAACCATAAGGCAACACAAAAGGGAAAGACTTTGCACCTGATGGCACACGCGTGAAACTTCCTCTGTGGGCATGCCAAAAAAGAGCACACTGCCTTCACGAAGACACCAGTCTGCAGCACCATCTGAATTCAGTAATCACACAAAACACTTTAAGGCAAGGTGAAAGCCTTTAAATGTGAACTAGTTAGTCGATGAGGAATTGCAGACAAAGCAGCTTACAGCACGGCTTAGGGTAGTAACACACTGGGAACTCAGCCATCTCACACTGCTGAAAGAACTCATACAGCTTTGTCTTCACTCTCAACAGCTCAGCTAATGCGAAGCAACATCACAGCAGAAAACAAAGGATGCTGATTTTGCTGCAAGGTAAGCTTTAGTAAGCAGAGCCTTGTTCTGAAAGGAGGAAGGTAACAAAGCCTAGCCAAAAATAATAAATAAAAAACACGTACATACACACCCCACACACACTGTCAAGCCCTGTCATGCTCTAACAACACATCCAAGCACAGCTGCCCTCCCTTACAGAACCTGACACCAGAACAGTGCTGCTGGTGCAGCGACACAATGCACATCTGGAGCATCAGCTGTTCTCACTCTTCCACCGCTGTTTCTGCACCCAAGAGGATCAGTTCCTGGGCTCCTACATCCCTTTCTCCCACACAGTAAGGTGAGCAGACCCAGACATTAATTACACTGCACATCTTTAAAAGCTCTTTGGTTCAGCTTCAATTACTGGAAAGGGATTGCAGAGCAGATACTCAAATACTGGAGCAGGTGTCCAGTGAGGCTGTGAGCAATCCATCCTCAGAGGTACTCAACACTTGACCAGACAAGATCCTGAGCAACCCTGATCTCAGCTCATCCCACTTTGAGCAGGCAGCTGCACCAAATGATAACCAAAGTCCTTTACAGCCTCAATTAATCCATAAGCTTGTCTTTACAGATTGCCACAAGCTGGAAGGGGCAAATAAGTGACTTTTCCTTCCTCCTTCACACTTCCCAGACAAAATGCTAGGGTTGCCTTTCCATGCCTTGGATCTGACCTAGAAACTCTTTCACCATTTCAGGGCTGTTAAGCCAAACCAAATTTTCATCACTTTCTGACATAAATGACTAGCTGGTGACAGATATAACAGTACCTCAGAAGAGTGGGCCCATTTTCAAAATTAATCAAAAGAGCAAAACAAACTTTTTTTTTTTAATTTTTCAACCTGTATATACTGTACGTCTTTATCAACAAATATACAAGGGCTGGTCTGAAAGTAATGCTTCCTATTTCATTACACTGCCCTATGACATCAAAGGCAGCTGTTGGGGGTATGGCAGTACAGGTTGAACCTTCCCACCAATATTCCATTACATTTTGCTGCCGTGTGACAGATGGCAGCAGAGGGGCAGACTGACAAAATGGCGTCTGACACGAAAGTGCAGATGAAGCAAAGGTGAGGCACTGAATTCTTCCATGCAGAAAAAATGGCAACCTCTGACACACACTGAGGCTTGCTGAATGTTTATGCAGACAAAACAATGAACACGAACACAGAGAGGCAGTGGCTGGCGCGTTCAGCCAGCCATCAGTTGTGATAGTGGGTCACCTCCACTGGTGCAGGTTTTAATGAGCACAGCATGCAGGCTCTTTTTCACCACTGGCTTTGTGATTACTGACACAAACACACAAACACACACCTCGTGCACCTGCATGGAGTGCAAATGCAGTGGTTGGTCCACTAGGAGCACAGAGAGTTAAAAGTTGTCTACTGAAATAAATAGGAGGGAGATGCAAAACAGGCAGTTTGAAGCTCTCTAGACATATTACAGAACCTTGTTTGCATGAGTATTAATTTTTTGTTTGGATATTCAAACAAGCTCTATTTCCATTCTGTTTTGGATTATCTGACCTGTTAACAGCAAGCCAGCACAGGATATGTCTCCCTTGCTCTCCCCGTTGTCTTCAAGTCTGTTATGACAAGAATAACTTCTACGAACTGACATTTTGCAGCTTTTTATATTTTATTGTCAGCTACTATACTCATTATTGCCTACGGTTCACTATATCCAACTGGTTTGGATAAGGAAGCTTCTCAATACAGTCAAGCAGCACATCTTCCTGTTCATGATTTATGAGCAAATGTCCAGCCCAGTCTTCATTACTTCATTAAAAAAAAAAAACACCTGTCCATAAGATTAATGGAAACCTTTGTATTAATTTTCTAGTCTAACAAGTGGAAGCGAAATTCATGCAAGGCAGAGGATGGCAACGTTCTCAGAAAATACACAGAAACTTTGTCTCTGTGCCTTGTAAATACAGAGAAGTATCTTCATTCAGCTCATTTTAAGAAGCCATGACTGAACACCAAGAGAAATTCCAGTTGCGTACTCAAGAGCTAGGTAACCAGGAACTTGCAAGTCACACAGCTCCTTTTTTCCACACATTTGACTGGAAAATGCATACTGAACTTCGGACATCTTTTACTCTTGTCCAAGCTCCCACCAACAGCAATTCTACCAACGCTTAAACAGATGAGCACAACTGATCAGTCCTTACAACAACACCAACAAATTAACTTGGCTTCAGTGCTACAACATGAGCTTGATGCTTTTATAAAGACTACAATGGATCAGACATTTTGTACAGATACATCTAAGGCCTTAGAAGTAGGAAAAAAGCTCACTTGCTTAAAGCAGAACTATGCACATGGATTACCACAGCACAGTTATTAAAGCCCCCACTATTTTAAAAGGAATGGAAAACTGGATTAAAGACGAGGTATAAAGTTAAAGAAACAAGCATTTAACTAAACATGCTACTTTTAGCCAATGAATTTAAGAAGATATTCTTTTATTCTTTATTCTACTCCACAAGTGAGGTTAGTAATGTCCTTGAAGTGTCCTGGGAAAGGCAAGGTTCTCATAAAGAGCTTTAAGACGAATAAAATCTCTATAAAGCACTTACATAAAAAAGAAACATTTGCTGGGCAAAAACCACTCAGTTATCAGAAAGTTCTCAGACGCTTCAGAAGGATGTGAAGTTTGTGGCCTTGTTCCCTCCTAAACATGGTCTCATGATATTTTGCCACAGCATAATATTGCTGCCTGGGTACTATGTAGCCTAGAAAGCTTCTTGTTAACTAAAGGTTGGATAACATTAACTAAAACTTACTTAATGCTAACAAAAGCATGACATCACAAAGGAGGAGATAGCCTTCCTAAGCTCCCTAGAAGAGCAGTGCTGTAGGGAGGATTAAGACATGTAAACATTATTAGCCAATTCATTGTTTCTTTTCCAGAAAGTTACTGTTTAAGTTTCAAAGGGCTCAGAATTACAATTTGACAGAAGAGGAAAACAAGCAGCAAGATACAGTTTAAAATATTGAAACAAAAGGTACTAGTGTGAAGGTTGCGGGGATGTTAAGGCCTTCATTACAGAGGCCTGTATGTTGAGTCAGGGTACGCAGGATCCCTGCAATCACACAGAGCATCAGTCTCTCACTACAATAGCCACAGGTCAAGCCTGTCTCACTTTACCCATCTGTGCATTGGGATTTAGGCACCTGCTACCAAGCGCTGAATTATAATTGGCCAATTCGAAGAACCTTAAAGATGTGAAATAATAGGAAGGGACCTATCTTCTCTAACAACAGAGAAATCAAGAAATTGGCAGTGGCTTCATTACTTACATAGCACATCGTACAGAACACACCACTAACACTACCAGACAAGCCCTGTGGTAACAGGCACACCGAGGTCATAGCAATGGTCACTTACGGCATTCCTTCTCATCACTGTCATCGAAGCAATCTGGCAGCCCATCACACTGCCAGGCCCCTGGGATACAGCGCCCGTTGCTGCACATGAAGTTTCCAGGTATGTTGCATTCATTTGTGAAATTGTTCCCAGGCAGCAGCTGGCTATCTGCAACAACAACAAAAAACAAGTTTACAGGATGTTAAAAAAAAAAGCAACCCTCTCCTTCATAAGGTCTAAACACAAGTAAAATAGGTAAGGCCACAAGAACTCAGCTCCATACACTCATGCTTCTTTCAGGCTGGTATTTAGCTCGCAGATTTGTCTTGCTGCAGCTAGGAGCTAGGTAGCACATGGACTAATTCACACTAGCTTTTCAATGAAGTTCTAAACATAGTGATGCTTGGTGTCAGCTGTGTGCCCTGGCACACACCTGTCCAGGCAAGGAAAGTAGACAGAATGTTACTAAGATCTGCTGTGTGGAGACAGTTTAGCAGGAGGAAATTGGAGATTGAGAAAACAGTAAGAAGGCAAACTATACATTTGCTTTTAAGGTTGTAAGAGCTCTAGCCAGTGATTTCCATCTACTGCACTTCCATGCCTGTGCGCTGTTTTCAGAACACAGGTATTGCAGAAATGTAAACTTCACGGAAGGAAGACAGATAATGGCAATTATTTTAATAAGCAAAGAGATTCAACCACAGGTCTAAAACACAGGTTGGGCTTGGGGGACTGATGCTCCCAACACAGGAGCAACAAGATAAACGGAATCTCAACCCATCACACTGTGGGAAGCTGCAAGACGAGGCAGAGGATGAGAGAAAAGTTTCATTTCCCATCTTTCTGCCTCGTCTGAGGCATTATGCTCCAAGTTCATATTCTCCCAAAAACCAAAAACAAAAACCTTCCTGCATAAAGAAGGGGATGTCACTGCTCCCTTATAACGCTGCAAAGTTTTACATCATTGCTTCAGAAGATGCAGGACAGGACTGCTTTGGGAAGTATTTTTATGCCCATTTCTGCCCCAAACAATAAGCTTCCTCTCAATTTTTTTTCCTGGCAAATATCTGACTCTTCTGGGATGCTCAAGAGTCTGTCAGCACAGAGTGGTTACCTTAATGCAAATTTGCCCTGAGCTGCTGGAAGACAAAATGGTTCAGAAACAAAGTTGAAACTGTAACTTCTGAGGCAGATGTGGCAACCTGAGCCACCAGCTGGACAGTAGAGCCATGTGCAACATCCCTGTGGTAGCACCTTCAAGAAAGGAAGTGACAGCTCACAGAAAGCAAGCCCAGGCAATTTAGCCGGCTATTTAGTCTATGCTTTTACTGGTTTCATTCAAACCTCAGTTTCTTTCCCTGCATCAGTGCTCCTCTGATCAAGGAAGAACAGTTTTGCAAGATGCAGCTTCTTACTGCGCACTGGGAACAATTCAGTGCCAGGCCCACACTGCCATCCCTAGGGAAAGTGCCACTACCAGCAGCCATCCAGGAGAGCTGCAAGGAAACACTGAGCACATACAGTTAGTAACAGTCCCTGGGCTACTGCTGCCTGAAAGCATCACTTTTTTGTGTGCGACCTGCTGTAGGGAACCTGCTTTGGCAGGAGGTTGGACTACGATCTCTGGAGGTCCCTTCCAACCCTTATGATTCTATGATTCTGCGATTCTGCGAAGTCCTGCAGTGCTCTGCAGTCTGCAAATGTGGGGTGAGTTAGTTTTTTTTTCCTTAAACCAGCTCTTTGACACAATCAGATCATTCTTCATATCACTGACCTGTATCTGATAAGTGGCGGCCAAGCCAAAAATCACTCCTCCCAACAGCCACATAGAAGTTGCCAACATTGCACAGCCTCCTGTTAGGCAGCAGCCTGCAGCACACCCATAACAGAGCTGCCTGCAACAGGAGGAAGATGACCCCTGCACTACAAACTGAGGTTTGCCTTTAACAGACCAAGATATGAAACAGTGATACGGATGTCCTCTGCAGAATCAAGGCATGGCCAATATGCCATTTTCTTGAGCTTCTCAAGAGGCATCCAAGAGCTTCGAGAGCAGACCATAGCCGCTTCTCTACAGTCCTCAGAAAAAAAAAAAAAAAAAAAAAAAAAAAAAAAAAAAAAAAAAAAAACCCACAACAATCTAAATTTTGTGGCTAAAATTAACTCTCTGCTTCAAAATGATGATACTGCAAGCATCATATGACAACTAGGAATTACCAAGGTTTCAGTTCTCTCAAAGTCTAAGCACTCAGGCGGTACGTTGAGGCAATACCACCAGAAAAAGGTGCCATTCTCATTTGTGCTGCTGCTCTTTGCCACCTTCTCGTCCAGCCCTCCTGCCTGCACCTCTCCCCCAGCCTGTTCCACTTTCACACAGAAGCTGCACCTACTCGGAATGAAACCTTGCTGTCAACACTTCAGCGAGGCCTCCTCCAGGCCCAGGCGAGGTGCCAGCAAAGAACAGACGCGGGGTCTAGACTTGCCCCAAGTAGGGAGCTGCCTTCCCTGCTCTGAGCATCGCAGTGCTCCCCAGACAACGCAGTAACTGATGCACTTCCAAGGACTGCGGCACCTCCTCCGCAGAGAGGCCCCGGCTTGGCTCCTGGCAGGCTGTATCTGCCTGAAAACATCCACCAGGATCTCTGTGCACCCATAATGAAAAGCTCGGATCGAGCCAAATCACTTATGAATGTTTTAGGCCTCAAAAAGCACAAACTCAAAAACAGTGCCCCCAAAAAGCCATCAAGTCTCTGATGCTTCTAACAACCGTTTTGAATAAAGGCTGTATTTCTACTCTACTGAATTGAAGGAAAATGTCAAGAACAGATATCAGATTTTGTTACCCAGCAAGCGGTTTGTTTATAGGATTTCCTTTGCCATACAATAAATTTATCCTCAACGCTCTTCTAAGTAAGGATGTAGCACTAACCTTTTTACCAAACAGGAAACAAAAGATACGGGCAGATTAAGTTGCCAACAGACCTGTGCGAGTTCTGCTGCAGAATGGGAACAGTGAACTCTGACTCATACTTATTTCAAAGGAAGAAGAGCTCTTTCCCTTCAAACATGACCCCCATCAGCTGCTGGAATAGAGCTGCAGGTTACAGACACCACAATTTCAGAGTCACAGTCAGCACACCGAGAAACGTGTCATGTGTATTACTCCACCTCTGCAAAAAAAAATAATAATAATCCACCAGTGGGTATGGAACTGTCAAAACTATGCCACACATGGAACCATTTAAATGGTACAGTCCACTTCATTTCCTTTGCTTTGTAAACCTCTTCTATCTGATATGAGGGCCATCAAGGCTGCAAGGAAACCCTTGCTGTGGCCACTTGCCCTGCAAGGGAATGTGAGAAGAGCGGTGTTACAGGCACAAGAAGGACCTGTTCCATCACTCATTTTTCTGAAGGATTCAAGCAGTATCCTGACGAAGTCTGTACAGATGTCAGATTTTGTGCAGCCAACTTGCTATACTGCTTGTTGGCAGGGCAGAAATTCCTTCAATCTGGCAGAGCCGCCTTTCCAATCGCTGACATATTTACCCTGCAGCCTCTCTGACTAATTTTGAATTCAACCCAAATGCGAACTGCACGGATGTGTTCAGTTAAGTGAAGGGAGAAGGGAGAAGAAGCAGTCCATTTTCACCGCCACACACTGCTCACTTTAAAAAGCACACCATCTGGGCTGAATAAAAAAGGGAGTCATGTTTCACTTTGAAGGGGACCGAGAAAGGAAACCAATCTGTTTTAGCAGCCCCTTCCAAAAATACTGGCATCCAAATATTTAATACTCGCTAAAAAGGAATCAGAGGAAAAAAATAAATAAAAGGACATGTCATACTGAGCACGTCACACTGTAGTAACAACGCAAGGCTAGGATGCCTTTCACAGAAAAAACTACCTGAAAGCTCTCCAGAGAACTGCACATTACAGAACAGATTGCTACTGATAGTACTGCTGTGTCTGTATCAGGACACACGATCAGAGGGAACAGCCAGTCATTCTAGCAATGGAGTTTTTAAGGAAGAAATACAGGACAATTGTGAGTTCAAACTTGGTCACCAATAGTGTCCGTAACTTCAGCCTCTTTGCAAAGAGGATCTGTCACCAAGGATGAAGCACAAACTCTTCGCTGCCAAACCTCTCATGCCTTTTGTGGGAACTGTCACTGGATACTGTCAGTGATCTCTGTACAACATTTCCCAAACGTGAGGAGATTGATTTAGATCCAGGCTGGTGCATAGCTGTAGTGCTACTCACGAGGGCTACTCAGGACGTACATGAATGAACGCCTCCTGTTGTCCTTCTTACCTCCCACCCAGCATACAGCCACACCAGCTTTGATTCCAGTGCACCAGGAAGGTGTCCTTGCTCTACTGAAATCTGCAACATGCTGTGAACACAAAAGGAGAACAAGAAACTAGAGCAGATCGGCAGCTGGAATTTGCAGCAAGATGGCACCAGAAAGACATACCTCTCATACCTTTTCATCCACAAAGAACTTCACAGCTATGAAGACAGTGATTTAACTCTCCCTTTCATGATTAAAACCTCAATTCATGACTTAATGGTATGAATCTTTTCAAAAGATATGGTAAGGAAATTTTTAGTTAACATAGGTGCTTTTGTTTTTATAGTGGAAGAAACTAGAGGATTTTAAAAGTTTTCAGGAGGATTTAAAAACTTTTCTGCGTACCAGGTAGAATGCTGTGAGACCGTATTTCCACTGCATTGACCTTGGAACAACAGACACAGGGTTTGAATTTTGGGTGGGTCTATGTGAAGCCAGAGTCAGAATTAATGATCCCACTTAAAGTGGGTCCCTTCTGACTTGGGATACTGTATAAATCTGTTACTGCAGACTCTCAATAAACACTTTTATATTCTCCTAAGTCAACTTACAGACAGCAAAGAAGCAGTGCAAAGTGCCTGGTAGGACATCCCAAGACTTTGCTTCCTCAGAGACTGCAAATATTTAAAAATGTTTACATTCAGGTCCAGTTGCTTCTGTGGATTGAGGTGGGAGGACAGATGCATCTTTTCAGACTTCCTCATGCAGATATGAAGCATCTGACTCACCAAATCCACATCTATTTTACAGATGTTTACTAATGCTGATACAGCCAGAAGAGAAATTCAAAAGCTAAGCATGAAGAAACTCCAAGCATCATGCCTTGCCTAAAAATTTCAGTTTAGCACCGCATCTTCACTGGCAATAAAGGTACACTGTAAGCAAGGCAACACTGGTGGAAATAAGACAGACTTGGCCTAACACTCAGTGCAGTGAAACCAACGGAGCTGGCTATTTATGCTTATGAGATAATGCTGCATTCAGGACTCCAGCAGCCACCCAAAAGCTCTGTGACAACAGAGTTATTCAACATCTTTGCTACAATTTACCCCTTGTTCAAATGAAAACGGGGAGTCAGCTTTGAAGAGGAATGTCCCAGTCAGAATCCAAGTATGCACAGCATAAAAAGATTGTCCATTAACAGCTCCAGCAGATAAAAGATTAGTACACTGCAGAGGACTAAGTTCACTCTGCATCTCTTTCATTAATAACTCTGATATCACTCAAACAAAGCATCCCAGCGTATGCTCAGGCTGGTTTGGGAAGCCAAGAACAAGCCAAGCTCCTTCTTGCTCTGCTGCAAAACCAGTGACATCACCTAAGCATCTGTCACAAGTAAAGGACACCTGCCAGCCATTATGTGACAACTTAAATCCCCTTGAACAATTTTAATCCCTATCCTCCCCTATCCTCATTTAAACTGCCTGATGATTACATTGCTTATACAACATCAGAAGTTATGAGGGTTATTTGTAAAGGCAGATTGACAGCCCCACTGCAACACAAGTTCTCAGAAATGCTTCTTCTCTGAAGCGCAGCTACATTTGTGATTAATTCAAGGAATTGCTCACTGCTGAGCTTCAACTTACCCTCCTCCCATTTTCCAGGTCCGATATATTCTGTAGCTAGCATTCTCAAGACTTAAAAATGAATCAAGCCTAGCCAAAACAGAAGAAAATCCAACAGTTACTTCTGATTAAAACACTAAATGTTACCAAGGCAAACCAAGTCAATAGAAACACCCTTTTTTCTGAAGCGGACAGCTTCTTTCAATTCGAATAGAAAAAGCACAATGCTGAGAAGTCAGCCTACTATTGGATAGTCATCCTTGAGCCATTAATTCCTCAGAGCAAAGACACCTTCTATTGAACTGGAGAGCAATTAACACATCACCATCTCCTCTGTAAATAATGTAACACACACAGAATAGCGTATCTCTTTCTAAGCAGCCTATGGTATTAGTTTAAGCAATTGGCACACTCCTTGTAGCAGGTGGCTGCCTTTCAGCACTTAGCCATGCACACTCTTGAATTAAATATAATCTTCTAAATCATTCACTAATAAACAGCCACTTGCTTTTTCCTTGAAACACCACGTGCAGAAAGTGAGGTGAGGTGAACAGGTTTATTTTAATCCTAGAGCCTTTGTGGAGGGACTTGGCATTCCCCTGGAGCCCCCACGTTCGTCTGTCCCTAGCACAGCTGCTTCAACACACCAAAAATAAAAGTGCCTCTCAAATCCACGGGCTCTCAGCACAGCTATATGGTGGAAGAAAAACAGGCCAGCAGCTACTAACAGCACAGAGTGAGCATGGACCACATCCACAGCCTCAAAACAGCACAAGATTGAAAGGAAGAGGAGGAGCAGAAGCAGAAGTAACTATTTAAAATTACTGAACCGCAACTTGAAGAAGGAGCATTCCCCACAGCAAGATTCCCAGACGTGCATCCAAATTTCAGAGCAAGATCAAAACTCAAAATCTATGATTTCAGCCTTTCCCAGATGCCCTTCTAGTTTCACCTCCCATGATTTTAAGCAAACTATGAAAACCATTACCAGCAAATGAGAGCACGTGCCGACACAGTACCATCCACTTTGGAGGATGTTAATTGCTGGAAATGTTTTCCCTAACGATGTGTTCCTCATATTTTCAGAAGAGCATAGCCATTATCTCTGGGCACTTACAGAGAAAGTTAACACAGTCCAAAAGAATAATCTGAAATACAAGGAATATATTCCACCAACCATCATCTTCAGGGTAAATGAATAATCACTGTCTTATCATAATTTCCTAATCACCCCAGGTTATTATTCTCTATCTGATCTGATCTTTCACAAGAGTCGGTGACGCTCACTGACACACACGAGATTCTAGGGAAAAAGCAGGTAGCTCCACACAAAGGACAGAGCACCCCCCAAAGAGGAGTCCAGAGAGAACCTACTGTCTGACAGCAGGAAGCTGGCTAGCAAGTATCACCGCATCAGCTCCATCTTCCATTTCTTTATCACACAGACACTGTAGAGCTTGATGGGGATGGCAGCAAAAAGAGCAAGAAAGGACAAAAAGTAAAGATGCAATCTCTATATTCAAGCAAGTTAAACGCAAAGCTAATCCTAATGACTGTATCCCTTCTTAACACACTTCATATATTGCTCTTAATGAAAGACAGAACTTGCATATGTAGAAAAGAATCTAGCTTCTCCTTGAACTGCACATGCAATACATTCATCACTATATATCAGTTGCCTTGCAACAAAGCACAACACGAGGCCACTCAGATACCATATTACAAACTACAAACGCCTACATAGGACAGAGAAGTTAATTGTTTTTAGCATCTCAGAAGAGAGCATTTTATCTTCTTTTGCTCTGCCTCTGTACTTTGAAGAAAGAGACTTGCATGTACTTTGTCATAATTATACAGCCCCACTGCCTGAAGTCACTGTAATTTTTTGCAACACCTCCGTGACACAGCTAGGCGCATTACCTTCCTCTCTGATGGATTCAGACCTTGGTGTGAAGAGACAGTAAATCAAGTTTTACCATAACCAGCGTCACCTTAATAAAAAACCACAAGTGCCTGACACAGTGAAGAACCTCTCAGATAATTCTGCCAGTTATGCCTTAAAAGCTTGGATTTTAAAACAGAAAGGGGCAGTGTTAGTGTGCCTTGGAAGATTTATGATCAGTATGGCATCATCTGTCCTGCCAGAGCCCACGCTGCTGCACGTTATCTAACCAGATATGCTGCCTTTATCAGTTCTGCACTATCTGGTCATCCAGCATTAGTCATCCTGAAACCACAGCTGGAATTACTCTCCACAGGGCACGAATGAGAAGGGAGTCTATAGAGTAAGCAAACTCTTGTTTCTGTCTCCAACTACTGTCCACATCAACTCTATATCAAACTCCTCCCTGTATGACTGCAGAAAATCCCCATTAAGTAGACATGCTCAAATGGCTGGCCACCACCTCTTTGGAAGGCAGAGCACACAGGATTTTCATAGTCAACACGACAGCTTCCTTAAAACAGAGATGCTGGAAGCGCTTCCAAAGAAGCAGAATGGCTGCACCCTGCTCCACCAGCTCTGAAGACTCTCTCACCTCAATGCCTGCTCTGCTGATAAAATATGGCAAGAGAAACGTCCTGGTGGCCCACATCCACTTAGCAATAAGACTTTCAGGCTGGATCTTTTCTCCTTTCTTCCAGAGAAAGAGGTCAGGGGACTCCTCTTTAATGGCCCACTAATGGGAGGAAAAGAGGAAAGTTCACTACCAACAGAAGAGCATCTAGGGGGTGGGAGAGATGCTATGACTGAGTTCTAGTTTATGCAAGAATCTTTGCTAAGAGTTTAAACACAAATTTGCCTTTATTTCACAAACTACTGAGACAACTACATTCTGCTTGCAGAACACAACAGAACATAAAATTTTAAAATACTCTCACAATGTAGGGCCCAATCAGTCACCCATAAAACCATCATTTAAATATTCATGTGTGATGAAACTAAACTGCTACACACAGGTCTGTATAGAGCTGCTTTCTGCTGTTATGTCTAGGTTTCAGCTGCTCGTTCTCCCAGCAAACACAGTTCTCCTTGTTTAACATTTTCCCTGGCAACAGGACACTTCCGACAGCATCACCCTGTATAAATCATAAGCTTGTGTAAACCGGTAGGAGCAGATGTCAGCGCGGGACAGCAACTCTTGGACAAAGTGAATGCTAAGACTTCATATATATATGTAGTAAGTGAATCAAGAGGTGGTAGAGCAAAAGAAAAGATGAATTTATGATAATGAATTATAATCACAGCATTCCCCTAATATCACTGAGAGAATAATTTATGCACTTAGGATGTGACGGCACTCCAATGCAGCGCATCTGCAAGGGAAAGGAAGCAGTGGTCTTTGTAACAAGCAGAGGGCTTTGGCTACATGAGAAGGCTGCAGCTTGGAGACAGTGATGGGAGGCTCTGCAGAGGGCCCACGCCAGGAAGCAGGCCAGGGCTGCAAAACAAAACAGCAACATTGCCCTTAACAA